TCTCCACTGCTAGCCTGATCCATACCCCCCTGTCCCATCCACCCTATGCACACTCCATCCAGCAAGACATCCAGACTTCACCTCATCTCAGATTCTGGACTATATCCACCTCCTCATATTCTGGTCCTGCATCCACCTCATCTTCCGGATCCCCAGATCTCCGGACCTCTGGATATTAACTCCGGACCTATTCCCACCCTCTGTCCAATATCCTGTGCCTATCCCCATTTAGGCGTCTCTGCCTTTCCAGCTTTTGGTTACCTCTTCTTCTGTCTTGCTTATTGATCCTTGTATGAGTCTTCATCTCTGAGTTCATTTAGTTATGTTCCATCTTACTTACTAATGTGTTTCCACATGCTCATACATAGCCTTGCTCCTTTGCTTACTGATCCCCTCAGATAGTCTCCAGTATATAACCCCTGTAGATACTCCTGTAGTTCCTTAGTTTGAATATCAACTTAGACTTGCCCAATCCTCTCTTGGACTTTGGTCCACCTAAGTCTGTCCTACTCATCAGGCCTAGGGATTGATTCCCTAGGCCAGAGCTTTGCCTTTCCGGCACTTACCCTCTTTCTGGACTTAGGTCCAATCCCTGTTCTCTCCAACTCTACCTTAGGGTAGTCTACCTCTGTTTGCTTCTACATCAGACTTCATCTGATGTAGCCCCTATTCCTTCTGGGCCTCCAGACCTCCTGTCCCTCATACCTCCGGGCATCCTGTCCTTCAGATGTTCCATCCTCCTAACCCTCAGATGTCCTATCATCCTGCCCTCTGTACCTTTGGACATCCTGTCCTTCTGTCCCCTGTCATCCTGCCCTCCTGTCCTCCTGTCCTCCAGACCTTTGGACCTCCTATTATTCCATCCTGTTTCCTGTAGAAGTATTACCTTGCAGTGGGAACTCTTCTGAGCACTTCCTGCATTCCTCCAGAACTCTCCTGCACTCCTCTGGAAGTCCTCCCACACTCTCCACCAGAGTAGCCAGCCTCTGGAAGTCCTCCAGACTTCGTCAGACCATCATCGGACCTCATATGAAATGAAGGGCACATACTTGGGTAAGGGGCACAGTGTATGAGCTGAGGCCAAGCCCCTCTGAGTCAGTCTCTCTCTCTTTTGAGCATGGTTCTTAACACCATTAGTGTGTGCTTTTTAGCTCCTATTGGTTACTTTATACCTGGACACCTTACCTTGACTTTCTTTACCCATGCAATCAATACCCTTGCCCTCACTTGCTACCCATGCCATTCCTTAAGACTTCCCTACCCCTTACCCTAGCATCTCACACTTCCGCATCAACTGCTCATCAATCACTCATTGACTGCTCATTGACTGCTCATTGACCACACTTCCACATTCCCATGCTCTACATACCTGTGCTCTGTGCACTTTTGGGTCTTAAGTATCATTGGCTGTTCTCAGTAGCAATTCCCTTTAGGGTTGAACGTTCTTGCTTGCAAGTGTAGCAGCTAGGCAGAGCATCGACCTACAACAATATTTTTGGTTAGGCACTTTAACAAGTGTCCAGCCATTGTTGTGTTTGCACACCATGCTGCACTTACCCATCCTGCAGTACAACCACATGGGCAACAAAACCAATGCCCATAAATGCTGGCAAGAAAATGTCACGACATGGAGAACATCCAAAAAACCTAGAGTTGACCTGGAGACAACCAAGGAGAATAAAAATGTGAGTGTATGAACTGTCAAGCCTTGCAGTGAGTACTTACATGATGCACAGCTGTTTAATGCAACATCTCAGGATATTGTTTCATCAAGCATAGTGAGGTGGTTTGGGGAACCACTCTCTACAGGTGCCCTGCACACTCCATGAACAAAAAGTCATCTCTGGCACTCAGCAGCAACATTTTTTCTGCCAACTCTAGAGAGCCTGACCAAGGAACCTGCTAGCACTGGCCATGACTCAGAACTGCTGGACTCCCCAGTATTACCTCATGCTACTCATTCTTGGAGTCATCACAAAGTCACCTGCAAAGACATCAAGGATGAGGAGGACTTGATTACAATCCAAGGAATACAGTGGAGAGAACAGCAGTTGTCCCCTGGGCCTGTCGGTGGAGCACTTCTTAAGAAGTGAATGATCCATCAATGGATCATGAGACAGACAACAAGAATAATGAGCTCACCAACAATAGTGTGGGTGTGTGTTAAGAACCATGCTCAAGGGAGAGAGAGACTGACTCAGAGGGGCTTGGCCTCAGCTCATATGCTGTGCCCCTTACCCGAGTATGTGCCCTTCATTTCAGAGGAAGTCTGATGATGGTCTGACGAAGTCTGGAGGACTTCTGGAGGCTGGCTACTCTGGTGGAGAGTGCGGGAGGACTTCCAGAGGAATGCAGGAAATGCTCAGGAGAGTTCCCACTGCAAGGTAATACTTCTACAGGAAAACAGGATGGAAGGATAGGAGGTCCGGAGGACAGGAGGACAGGATGTCCGGAGGTATGGAGGACGGACATGGAGGTATGGAGGATGGAACATCCGAAGGTACGAAGGGTGGAACGTCCAAAGGACAGGAAGTCCAGAGGTCTGGAAGGAATAGGGGCTACATTGGACGAAGTCCGATGTAGAAGCAAATGGAGGTAGACTACCCTAAGGTAGAGTCAGAGGGACAGGAAGTGGACCTAAGTCCAGAAAGAGGGTAAGTGCTGGAAAGGCAAGACTCTAGCCTAGGGAAGCAATCCCTAGACTTGGGACAGAGACATAGGGGACAAATCTGGAGGTCTGGAATTCCGGCCTAGGGAGTCCATCCCTAGGCCTTATGGAAAAGGACGAGACTCAGATGGACTGAAGTCCGGAAGATGATTGGCAAGTAGAACAGGATCTAAGATGATAGAGTAGGAACTAAGATGATATTCAGACTGAGGACTCTACTGTAGTTGTACAGGGGTTATATACTAGAGGCTATCTGAGAGGATCAGTAAGCAAAGGAGTAAGGCTATGTATGAGCATGCGGAAACACATTGGTAAGTAAGATGGAACATAAGTAAATGAACTCGGAGATGAAACTAGTACAAGGATCAATCAGCAAGATGGAAACAGAGATAACTGAGAACCGGAAAGGCAGAGATGCCTAAATGGGGATAGGCGCAGGATCTCGGATAGAGGGTGGGAATAGGTCCGGAGATAGTAACAGTTATATCCGGAGGTCCGGAGATCTGGGGATCTGGAAGGTAGGGCAGAAACAGGACTGAGATATGTGAGGTGGTGGATGTAGTCCAGAATCTGAGAGGAGGTAAAGTCCAGATGTCTTGCTGGATGGAATGTGCATAGGGTGGACAGGATAGGGGATCCAGGAATGAGTCGGATATGGGGTCTGGAAATAGGTCCGGAAAGCGTGGGAATATGATGGGATCTATGTCTGGCATATGGGATATGACAGTGTGCAGTGCAGTAATCCCTATGCATTGAATTCCTCCTACAGTTATAGAAGCACACAAAGCACTGATGGACCTTCAGAACCTTCTCTGACCTCCTTGGAATGATGGGACAGGATACAAACAGCCTGAATTTGATGCTGTTCTTGAAGAATGACTCAAATCTATGGAAAATTTTCTGTGGAAATACACAGATGTTGGCAATGATGGCAATCCTCATGGCAGAAATGGTGCAGGAGGAAATTGGACATGGGCTGCAGATGAAACTGCTGCTTTTCTGCATAGAGGTGCTTGGCTAAGTTGAAACCTGTGGATGTGGTCAAAAGCATACACAAAATATTGAGAAAAGTTGCCAACACACAAGTATGGTAAACATGTCTCCCACATTGAAAACATGGCCTTAGCTGCAGACATCATGCTTCATTTGCAGAGCATCAGAAAATATGTCAGGGCACAAGACATTGTGAATTACCTTAGTGATCCAGCAGTCCAACATTGCCACAGGCTATCAAAAAATATTTCATTGGCCACAGCTCAGCAGTGGATGTTGAAGCTGGGCTATCAATGGAAGGAAGAAGAAAAAGGTCTATATGTAGATGGTCATGAACAAGAGGACATTGTTGAGTACCATCAGAATGTATTCTTGCCTTTATGGCAAAGCTTTGAATGTTGTCTTCAAAACTGGAAGGGGGATGATGGTCACCTAATGTGAGAAGAGGAGTCCAGAGAGCTTTTGGGCCATCGCTGCATCATCATTTGGTTTCATGATGAATCAACATTTTATGCTCATGATTGCCACAAAGTCTGATGGATACACTCAACTGAAGGGGCAGTCCCAAAGCCCAAGGGAGAGGGAGTCTCTCTAATGGTTGCTGTCATATCTGCATATCCGGATCTCAGATCTGATCCTATCATCTATATCATCTGATCCATCTATCCACATCTTATCTCCCTCCAACATCTCATCATCCAATCTGTCCACTCATCCAGTCCAGTCCACAATTCATCCAAATCCACAACCAGCACTCATCTCTTTTTGGTAATCCCCTAACTCCAGTATTTTGGTTATCTGTATATCTGTCCTGCTCCCTGATCCATTACCTATGCTTCATTTCCATTTCATTATTTGTGATCTATTTCTACTTACCAATAGACTGTCCATATGCTTCATACATAGCCTCGGACTCTGCTGATTGATCATTCCATTAGATACCTATAGTATATAACCTCCTGTAACTCTCTGTAGTACCTCAGTTCGAATATCAACTTAGTTCTGCTCATTCCCATCCTCTGGACCTGAGTACCGCTACTCTCATCACCCTCCGAGACTTAGGATTGATTCCTATAGTCTATCTGCATCCACCTCTGTCTATGATAGCCATTATCGCTAGTTTCTAGTCTGGACTCATCTGGATTAGTCTTACAATACTTATCCCTCATCCAGAAGTCATCCAGATCTGCTACACTACCCGTCTGACCCTCTGGATGTGTTAGTCTTGCCTTCCTGAAATAAGGGGCAATACTCGAGTAAGGGGCACAGTGCATGAGCTAAGGCCAAAGCCCTTAGGATCCATTAACCCTTGAGTACGACCTTAACAGTTGCTCATTTCATGTTGGCAGACTATGGGTGGCTTCAATCCAACTTGAAAGATGGAGCAGAGACAGCTCATGTCCTTTTCAAAGCAGGCAAGGGGTGGGATGGTTACTTCACAACAGACAACATTATTGCACATGCCAATCTTGTAATGGATATCCTGGAAAAACATTTCCCCAATGATGATCATATTCTCATATTTGACAATATGACAACTCACATGAAACATCCAGATGATGCACCCACTGCTTGTGACATGACAAAAAATCCCTCAAAGACATGGGGTGCTGTTGTCACTGTTAAGGACACTTGTGGCAATGTTATGCACAACACAGAAGGAAAGCTGCTGAAAACAAAAGTTTGCCTCACTGATACACATCTCACTAATGGCTCACCACAGTCTTTCTGCTTTCCAGAAGGCCATGATAAAGCAGGTTGGTTTAAGGGCATGGTGCAGATCCTTTGAGAGTGTGGATTTCACAAAGAAGCAAACCTCAGATCAGAATGTCCTGGATTCAAATGTCCACCTGACAAAATATTGTGTTGCTGCTGTTTTTTCCTTTATAATCAGCCTGACTTCATAAACATGAAGTTGTGCCTTGAAATGGTCTGTGAGGATCATGGCTTTCAAGTCATATTCCTGCCAAAATTCCATTGTGAGCTTAATTTCATAGAGATGTGCTGGGGTTTTATGAAATGGGTGTATCAGCAATTCAAACTGTCCTCAAAGGAAGAAGATCTTGAATGAAATGTTATCACAGCATATGAGTCTGTGTCTCTGGAGACAATGTGCAGGTGAGTTGCTTCATTTTGTGATGCTATTCTTAGCCTGCTGCTGCTGTGTCAAACATTGATGTCTGTTGATCCATGAGATTCACTATCTGTTCTTGACACTTCATCAATGCTTATCAAAAGGGCCTAAATGGCACACAGGCAGCCTGGGCTGTCAGAAAATACTGAGGACATTGAATTCTTCCGCAAAGCATCATGCAAAATTTCAATTAAGATGACAGTGATGTTTCAAGTTGAAGCTTACAAATTTTGGTCATTACAGTGCATAATTTTCTTTATTACACCTACTACTAATACTACATTTTCACTATATTATACTTGTAGCTTCCTTGTACTTAGTCACATATAATCCAAGTCTGTTGCTGTCAAGGCTTCATCTGGCAACTCGGCATTGACCTTATTGTCCAGTATCTGTCAGCTAGTCACAGTTAGTCACACTCACATGATATTTGATTCTTTCGCATGAGGTCTATCTTATACATTTTAGAAACCATCCTTACTAAGCAATGACTCATCATTGGATTGGTAAGAATATGCTTACAAACCAAGCCTTTTGGTGTGCTGAATCAGCTGCTTGCTAAAGTACATGAGTAAAATATTACAAAGTATGACAAAACATGATAAGTCATGGAAAAATCCTTACAAATCAGAATATTACCAGTCACATGACATGCTTACAAACACATTTGAGTGGTTCACTGATGTAATCAAGTGGCTAAAACTACAAATACAATAAATAAAGGAAAATAGATGACTAAGTTTATGAGTGAGAAATATATCCTCATACACTCTCCTAATCATCTCCTTCTATACTTCTTTTTGTATATGTCATGGTATGAACTCCATACCATGCACAACAGCATGCACTATCACATTTGCATTACCATGCTCTGTGCACTTTCAGGTCTTAGTGTCTTTGGCTATTCTCAGTAGCAATTCCCTACATTCTTGCTTGCAAGTGTAGCAGCTAGGCAGGATTAGTAGACATATATTGACTAGGTATTCTAACAATTATCTAGCCAAGTTGTATTCTTCACATTGGATATGACAAGAGACTTAGCTCAAGTCCAGAGGACACAGGAATGAGCAGGAACTAATATGATATTTGAATTGAAGTATTTCCAAGAGTTACAGAAGGTTTATATACTGTAGGTATCATATGGGTATCAGTCAGCAGAACACAAGGCTATGTATGAAGCATATGCAAAGTCTATTAGTAAGTAGGACAGATCAGTAATCAGAAAGGAAACATAGTGTGACCCAAAAAAATGACTTGGACTAGTAAGTAGTATATCATGAGTACTGTATGTATTGTATCAACTGTGCAATAAAGTTGTGTCTGGTTAATGAACTGGAAGATATATGCTATGTACAATAGATTATGTGAAATGATAAGTGAATGATGCTTACAGTCCAGTGTTGGAAATGAGCAAGCGTGCTCACAGCCGAGATGCAGTATTCCCTTATTGTTTTTGTTCACAATGTCCAGCAACACATGTTTCAAATCTATGTGATCTTGTTATCATCTTTTCTATTGTACTTACAAAACACCATTGATCTCTTGGGCCAGTGCCATACTTTCTTATTGTTACAGTCTCACATACTCAATTCACTTGCACAAGAGCTTGTGAGGTATTTAGTTAGCTACAGAATTGGACTGTCACCTCAGATGTTTGCCTTCATGCACATGACTGAGGTGGGATACTCACATTTTCACTTATATTTACCTTTGCTTACTTTGAGTAGAGAGTCTGTATCTTACAGGTGAATATCATAGATGTTTGCCTTTATGCACATGACTGAGAGAGTCTGTATTTTACAGACCTGCGCGAATTATATTAATCTTTTATCCAGCTTTCTCAAGCTCATTGAGAATAGAGTAAGGGAGGACTTGATGACCTCTGTATTTCTTGCTTGCCTACACTGCTTGTTTGCCTGTTAAGCCCTTTATATATATAAGCATTCATGAATCTGTGAGAATAGCATGCATATCTATGTTCTCAGGTGAGATAAAACAATAAAAAAGGGGCTTACTTTTGCATTTGCTCCACAGTCACAGACTCCAGTGCATCAACAAGGTTCTTTACCAGATCTCCCTCACTGACTGAGGGTGGCATTTGATGGTATGTGTGCTTTGCATGCCCCCAGCACTGCTCAATAAAGTTAAGCTCACAGTAAAACTTTGGAAGGAACAGTACTGAGATTCCATGTGATTCAGCAGCAAGCTCAAGTAAAGATTTGATATTCACAAAGTTAGGTTTGTTGTACACCATCTGTTAACAGCAGTAGTAATGCTCAACACTGTTAAAAGTAGAGCTAGAAGACAAGTCTAAAGATGAAAGACAATTAGAGAAAGATGGCATGCAAGGTAAACATGATACATACTTCAGTATTGTGAAGAGAACTGCTAAGGTACAAACAATGTGATACAAAGTGATTATAAGCTATAGGTATAGGGTCTGGGATGACAAAGACAGAAAAGGAAAATGGAGACAATGTTGACTTCTAACACACTCCCTCAATGAGATGACGGATGAAGGCACCCCTTCAATGACTGACTAACATGAGACCAGAACAATAATGATTGAATGTGGGACATGGTAAGGGCTTAGTGAAGGTATCTGTAGTGTTCTTGTACATGGATAACCAGATGAGTAGGAACATTCCAGCTTAAATGTAATAATGGATAAAATGGTCAATGTGTTTTGTCCTGATGTGATTTGCAGCTTCCTTGGACAGTGTAATGGTGCCTGCATTGTCTGTAAACAGCTGCAATGGCAGTGGGAGGGGGAAGATGAGACACCTGAAGAATGACTGGAGCCAAAGTCTGTCTTGGACGGCAGAGGTGAGTGCTATGTATTCAGCCTCAGTTGATGATAACACTTGAGTAGTTTGCTTCTTTGCAGAGTGTGAGACAACCCCCTCATTGTAAAACCAGACATATCTGGAGATCAATATCTGATCTTCAGGGCAAGAAGCCCAGTCTGAATCAGAAAAACCATGTAGGGAGGGATTGACACCAGCACCCCCATAATGTGCTCAAAGAGTCCTCATGCTAGTGAGATAGTGCAAAACATGCTTGGCTGCTGTATAGTGTTAGGGTTCAACAGAGACATTATGGTGAGAGTAATGTCAGGGTGAGTATACATAGCAAGGTAGAGAAGTTCTCCAATGAGTTTGTGATACTCTATTTGCAGGTCATCAATGTAGAAAAAGATATCAATTAGACAGCTGAACAGGAAGCTGGGGTCCATAGGAAGTGACACTGGGTTGCAGTCTGGTATGCCATGCTCAGCTAACAAATATATGATGTAGTCCTCCTGATGCATCCAGAGTTCACATGTTTTGCAGACATGGATGAATTGGATCCCAAGGTACTTTATCACTGGCCTAAGATTAGTAATGCCAAAATGCTCTGCTATTTGTACTTTCATTCAATCAAGGAATGTATGGCTATTTGCACCTGCAAGTCCATCATTGACATGCCATGCTATAATGCAGATCACTCTCACCCCTTTGCTGTTGATGTGATTGAAGATAAAAATGGCATAGTCTGCCTCACAGTGCAGGAATCCAAGGTGAGTCAGGACCTCATGAAGAAGTTCATACCAGTTATATGCCACCTGCTTAAGACCATACAGTGAGGAGAGAAGATGAGTCACCAGAGGGAGACTATTCCTATTAGTCCATTCGAAACTGGGAGGTTGACACATATAGACATCCTCCTACAGTTTTCCCCATAGGAAGGCCCATCAAGCATCAAAACAATCAAGTTCCCAGTCATGAGCTGAGAGAATGCATATGGATGTGAATTTAGTGACTGGTGCGAACATTTGTCCAAAGTTGATGCCAGGGATCTGTGAGAAGCCTTGGGTGACTAACCTTGCCTTGAACACAGGCTCACCCTTCGGATCTTCCTTAAACTCTAGTACTCACCAACATCCAATGGCACATTGTCTATCAGGCAGTGCCACAAGCTCATACATGTTCATTTCAGACATCAAATTCATCTCCTTATGCATTACAGCCAGCCAGTGATTGTGGTCAGGATGATGCATTGCCTTGTCATAGGTTGCCAGAGGCATGTTAAGATCATACCCAGGAGCTAATGGATTATAGCATGTTGAAGGTTCAACAACTCTGCTGGCTTGCAGAGCTAAAGAAAGAAGATGCCTCTACCTCTGGGGTGAGAGGAAGGCTACTGACTCTCTAAGTTGTTGGTCGAAGTGTGCTGAGCAATATGTTTGACCCTTAAGGGAAGCAAGGAAAGCAAGATCCACAAAGTGACACTAGGTCAACTCTGGTGAAGCATGTGTGCAGGAATATGGAGTGCATAGGAGTGCATAAGCATGGGAATAATGCGCAAGGAGTGCATGAATGTGTAAGAAACTGAAAGATGGCATGAAGGTGTGAACTAAGACTGCTGAGTGGAGACTGATGCTGATAGACTGCTACTGAGGACTAGGGCAATGACTCTGATGCTAACTCATGATAATGGATTCTGACTGCTAGATGCTAAGTGACATGATGGTGGTTGGTGTATATAAACTTTTCAGGCCACAGGTAAGCTGTGCCTAGGCATGCTCCCAGGGCTCAGAAGTGAATAGGGAGCACTCTATGTATGTAAGTGAGGTAAGTAAAGGGTCCATGATGAAATAATATCATACAAGTGCT